ATTTACGTTATTTCTTTTCTTATATTCTCAATTGAAACTCCTATGAAATAAAGAAAAAATCGAATAAAAATGCCGTGCTAAAAATATTAATATGTACATACTGGTTTCAATTAATTGATCGTGTGTTTTTAGAAAATAAATTTTTAAACGATCCGTTGCTAAAGGACAAAGTGCCTGCCAAGTATAAAAGTCATAAGGAAATTTATGAGGATGCGATAAGAAAAGGATGCATTGTACTGGAAAAATTAGAAAATCTGCAAGATACGGGAGCAAGTGATATATTTACTTATATGTAAGAATCTATCTAATATTTTTTAATAAATGCAATATATATATATATTTAATTTTTTATTTAAATTTAAAATTATATGTTAAATATTTTATCAAATAAAATTATGAATGCACGAAGAGAGGGTTTCTTATTTTTATTTATTATCGTAAATTATTTATATTTTTTCTTATAGGCAGATCTTAGGCGGACTGTTAGGATCTGCGATATTAAAAGATGGTAATCCGATAATTTTACATCATGTGATGTTTATACCAGCATTAATGGGACAAGCTACAACCGAACAACAAATAACTTGGTTACCTAGAGCTTGGTCTTGCAGTATTATTGGAACTTATGCTCAAGTAAAATTGATATTAAAGCTTCTTAATTAATAATTAATAAGTTATATTATTATTTTTACTTCAAAATATTTTTTTTTGATCAAATATATATTTAGCTATAAAATGTAATTGATTTATTTTAGACAGAACTTGGCCATGGAACGTTTATCAGAGGTTTGGAAACTACTGCAACTTATGATCCTGAAACTAAAGAATTTGTATTAAACAGTCCAACTTTAACATCGTACAAATGGTGGCCCGGGGGTTGTTAGTATTATTTTCCCTGTTAATTGATGATAATAATGTATTAATAGTCAAACTTTTCTTGTTTTTGTCTTTTCTTTTTCCTTACGTAAATACTGTAAGAATACCACTTAATTTCGTGTGTTTATTTTCAGTGGGTCATACTGCTAATTATGCCGTAGTAGTTGCACAGTTGTATACACAAGGTGAATGCAAAGGAATACATCCATTTATCGTACAACTCAGAGATGAAGAGACGCATGAACCCTTACCAGGTATGTAAATAATAATAATAATAATAATAATAATATGTTAAAACTATTAATATTAATGGTTTATATTCGTAGGTATCAAAATTGGAGAAATTGGAACTAAATTAGGGATGAATGCGACCAATAATGGGTTCTTAGGCTTTGAGAACGTTAGAATACCAAGAGAGCATATGTTAATGAAAAATTCTCAGGTAAAATTGAAGAAATAAATTATTTTATTTTTACTTCTCTTAATAAATTCTTTTTTTTCCAGATATTAGAAGATGGGACTTTTATCAAAGCTACAAGCGATAAATTAACTTATGGTACAATGATGTTCGTACGAGTAGTTCTAGTAAAAGATGTAGCGTCTTATTTATCTAAAGCTTTAACCATCGCTATTAGATACAGTGCGGTAAGAAGACAATCTCAAATAAATTCAAAGTGAGTAGTTGTTAACAATGATTTCTAAATGTTTATTTTTAAAAACGATTAGTAACTTTTTTAAATTGACTTAACGTTAAAACTGTGAGTTTTGGCGTTGAGTCATTTGAAATTATGCGTTAATAACATACATTTTCTTAAATGTTTTTTCCATTTAGTAAACCAGAGTCACAAATAATGGATTATATGACTCAACAATACAAACTTTTTCCAAATCTGGGAATGTATTTTGCAATTGCTATAGCTGCTGAATGGATTTGGGATATGTATAACAATGTAACTGCTGAATTGCATCAGGGTGAACTTGAAAGACTTCCAGAAGTATGTTTCTGATAAATATTATAAATATTAAATTAGATGTGTCAGTATATGGATATTGAGAGTCAGAGTGAACTATTATCCCACATTTTAAAAATTTGTCTTTTATTGAACTTACAACAGAGACAGAAATGTAAGGATCCATTTTCAAAATTAAGTAAAGCAAATCGACAAAAATTTCTACAATTTTCTAAAGTGTTCTTCTCAAAACTATAACTGATTGATAGGTTCACTATGGTTCTTAACGCCTCATATTTATTATTATTAACACTATGACGTCCAGCGACACGACAAAAAATTGTGGTGTCATGCACAAAAGTTTCAATATCTCCGGATACACCACATTGGTGTGGTGCACAAAGCGTAGTTCTACGCCCATGTAGTTAGAATACGGCCGGGCGTACGCGAAGTAATCCGAAGTAGCGCTGCCGGCGCTAAGCGAAAAAAATTATTAAAAATAGAAATGTTAACATTAATTACAATACATTATTGAAGAAATTGTACATCAGATTAACTCACTGATAAGAATATTAATTCAAAAATAATTTCTTGAATAATGTAACATGATTAATATTAAATAATGCATTATCAAGGCATTGACATTTTTTCATTTATTATACTGCACATTTAAACACGGAGATAGTTCATTTTAAGAAAATAAAAAACTAAAATCTAATTATATTTTTTTCATTCAAGTTACATGCACTGGCATGTTGCCTTAAGGCAGTAGCTTCATCCGATGCAGCAAGAGCAATTGAAGAACTTAGACTTTCTTGTGGAGGTCATGGTTATATGGACGCCAGTAATTTACCCGCTACATATGGCTTAGTAACGGCATCATGTACTTACGAGGGTGAAAATACAGTATTATTTCTACAAACAGCAAGATATTTATTGAAAGTTTGGAGACAAGCTATGAAAGGTAATCGGATACCACAAACAGTTGAATATTTGTACGATTTGGCACATGGAATGAGACAGAAGACTTGGGACGGTAGTTTAACGTGTATCGTTAAAGCTCATCAAGCAGTAGCTGCAGGGTAAGAATATAAATCATAAGAGTTTCTCATTGTCAGTTATATATAATAATATTCATATAGATATACTATACAAATATTTCAATTAATTTGTGTTTTTAATAGAAAAATTCATTTGGCTGTACAAAACATGGATCGCAGAATAAAAGCAGGTATTTCGTACGAGAATGCCTGGAACGAAACTAGTATCGAATTTATGCAAGCAGCCGAATCGCATTGTCGAGTTTTTTTGGTAACCGGGTATGTCAAAACGATCAAAGAATTGAAAACATTATCCAAAGAATTGCATACCGTTTTAGAACAATTGTGCACGTTGTATTGCATCTATTGGGTATTACAACGAACGGGTGATTTCTTAAGAGTGAGTTAAACGTTTTTTAAATTTTTAGTTTTTTAAATAATCCGCATACCTTTTAAAAAAAAATGAATTAACTAATCATTTTATTTTTTAGTTTTCTAGCTTAAAGAAAGAAAATATACCAGCACTACAATCACATCTTGAAGAAATGTTAAAAGCTATTCGTCCTAATGCTGTAGGCATCGTTGATGGTTTCGATTTACATGATGAAGTTCTTGGATCTGCTTTAGGGGCTTACGATGGTAACGTTTATCAACGTCTTTTTGATGAAGCTATGAAGAGTCCATTGAATCAGGAGAGTGTAAATGAATCTTTCCATAAGTATTTGAAACCATTCTTTAAAAGCAGATTATAGCATATATATATACATATATATATATATTAAATGTTGTTAAATGTTAATATTATCTTTTTTAAAACTTATTCATTTAAGGAAATATTATTTTTTAAATCAATCTTTTCTCAGTTAATAAGTCGAACGATTGAATGTGACAAGACTAATGTGTACCTCATGCGTAAATGTTTAATATTAATATAGCAAAATGGGAACATAGAAACATAAAAAGAGTTTACAGAAGAAAATAATCATGTTAAAAGAAGATTTATAAATGTATGTTATTATTTATACACATATATATATATATATATATATATACATATACTTACTATTCTCTTGGCAAGAATTGTCTTCGAATTTTCTATGGTGCTATTATAACCAACGGATATTTTTAATATAGATAAATATGATCTTATGGTAAGACAAAGATGATTATTTTTCTATGTATTTTTGATAAATTTTTATCTTGATGAAACAATAAAGTATAACTTTTTTGAATAATTCCACAAGTTTCCCCTTTTTTTTGACTCGACGTTCTTATTAATTCAACAAATTCGTCGGCAAATATATATATATATATATATATATATATATATTAAATAAGTCCCTAAACTCTCTCTTCTTACAGAATACAATATTTATTTACAGAATAGGAGCGACGACATACATTGTTTAATTCGTTATCATACTAATTACGATAATAATAATAATTATTATTCTTGTCATTAATAATAATAATTATTATTCTTGTCATTAATAATAATAATTCTCTGTTAATAATCTCAATGAGCTAATTAAAATTTAATAATTAATAATAATATCATATATATGCACGCAAACTGCGATAATCCGTTCAGAAATTCTGTCTTGTTATCGTACATATGTGCTGTTATAATACATTGTACTTGGGCAGGAATGTTTAAAAGGCAAAGTTCACTTTTTTTTTAATATTAAATCTGAGATAAATAAAACAAATTATTACGTGGTCAATGCTCACGGGCAAATATATGAGTACATTATTTTTATATGCATATACATATACATATATATACATACCACATATTTTTTCCATTTTAAACGCGCGTATGTAATTAATATACAGGATGATAAAAAAAAGTGTTCGATATTTGAAGGCCTCGTATTAATATACAATATTGAACATTCATGAATAGTACAAATGAATTACATTAAAAGTGTTGATTTTAGGACCCATGTTAATTAAACTTTTTTTTATTTATCTCGGTAAATATTATAATTCCTTCAAATATCGAATCCTTTTTTTTAACACTCTGGATGTACATATATATGTATATATATGTGTTTACGTGCTTAGTATATGTTCAGGGAGCAGATGGGAGCACAGAAACAATACTTACACTTAAAAAATAATATTTGTGTTAATTAATATTTATCATTAAATATTAATATTAATTAGATTCATTTTTTAAAATTATTATTATCATTATATTATTATTATTCTTACAATTAACTTTATTAGTATTGT